GACATCTGAGCCGCTGAACTCGCAGTGGATTATTTGTTTCTCGTGGATTACGTTTGTTTCTGAAGGGAATGCGCCCCCGATCTACATAAATGCATCTATGTTCGTGCATATCATTCGTGATCCAGCTTCACCTACAGAAGAATTGAGTATAAGGTTTTTTAATGAATCTTTGCAAATCGCCTTTCCTAATAATGTGCTAATTAACAAGTTTCACGATGAATGCGGCTAAAGTAAACAGTCCCTCAGAGAACAGCTCGGAAGAGAGGGGCGGGGTCAGCAGAGCTCATTAACATTTAAAGGAAAATGCTACAAAACAGCTTGCTCTGAAAAGAGCTGTTTTAGACAGGGTAAAAAAAAGGTGTTTTTTACACTACCATTGAGACATTTTAACCAAACTATGTTACAGACTTTTCATTAAGACCCTAAAGAATCATATCAACTTGTGGAAAATGGGCATCAGATGACCCCTTTAAAAGGAGAATCACTGCTACTTTCTGCAGGTCTGTTGAGTGTCTGTGAGAGCTTGTGTCTGACCGATGCCGTGGATGAGCTGAAGAGAGGGACTTTTCCCTGCAGGCCAGAGTGCTGGAGTACAGGACTGTTAGTGCCGGAGTGGAGGTGGATCTCACTATAACCGCATCCACAGATCAGCAGACCGTATGGAGCAGCACACTGACTCTACTCTCCTAAAAATACATACAGACCTGATGCTCAACCTGACTTAGAGATCACCCATGGTAATGAAGGCTCCAGTCATATCAGTGGTAGTGAGGAGTTCGGTGACCACTGCCCTCTGCATGTGTTTGTTTGGCTGGGGTTTACTCATCCTAATGCACATCCACTGTGGATGTTCTCCAGGTGCGTGGCAGAGATGGAGAAACACAAAGGTAAGTAATGTTTGAATGATGACATGCAGATTGACAAAAAAATGCTTCTTTACCACACAAATTTCTTTGTAGACCTGTAGGAATACACTGCTGTGATGTATGGTGTCTTTCACTGCAAAAATTTGCATAAACAGCCTATCTCAGATTTTTTTTTTCATCTCTTTAATTTATCTTTTTTTTTTAGCTCTTTAATTTTTTTTCATCTCTTTAATTTATACTTTTTTTTCATCTCTTTAATTCATTTTTGTCGTCTCTTTAATTTATATTAACATTTTATATAACATGTTTCATTGTTATTTTCAGAATTCTTATTTATTAATAATACTAACAACATTAATAATATTGTTTTATATGATGAAATAAGTATATATAGCATTATATGTATTAATATATTAATATTAATGCTTTGATTAATATAAAACATAGATATAATTTATCAATAATGTTATTATAATTATTATAAAATTATATTAAAATGATATAATATGTAATTTATAATTTAAAATGTAAAAGTATATATTAAAAGCCACAATCAGCGTATTAGAATGATTTCTGGAGGATCATGTGACACTGAAGACAGGAGTAATGATGCAGAAAATTCAGCTTTGCATCACTGGAATAAATTACATGTTAAAATATATTCAAATAGAAAATGATTCATTTAAATTGTAATACTTTCACAATATTAATGTTTTTACTGTATTTAAAAAAAATGTGTGTATATAATATAAAAGTAATATAAGGCAATAATATAAAATATTTTTTTTACATCTACTTATATATTAAAATATATGTAATAGACTAAATTACATATATACTAACACACTACAAATGATCTCAGATGTAATTTTATCCTCTTTTTCCGCAGTCACCATCAGAGTCAGTGAAAACACTAGTGAAACCTCAAGCACAGCATCATTTTCATTGGAGGACCACAGAACCAGGACGCTGTACCTCTCAGGACAGATAAAACGACAGTCAAGTGAGAAAGCAGAGTGATGGTGATGTAACTCTTACAGAAAGGATACTAAACACTTAATGGCAGGGGCGTAACTACAATCTCAGCTGAAGGATAGCCCAAACCAACAGTACCAGGGCCTTAGAAACCTTAGTGATGCTCCTGCTTTTATTTGAAATGTCTACTTAAAAGACATTAAAGAGGAATTATGAAGAAGAAGATTCTTGCTCTTTTGAAATAAAGGAATCAATGTCCTATGTGGACAGAATAAAACATATACAGTGTAACACTTCCTCCTCAGTCCACCCATAACAAACATAGTAATTAATATTCTATATTCAGGAACTTGACCCACTCTGATGAACAGCAGTGTGAATTACAGCAGAAGTTAGTCAATCATAACATCAGCCATTTACATTAAAATGGCACCACCTTAAAAATACAAGAACAAAAACTGCCTGAATGTCAAATGATTGGAGAGAGGGTTGAAAGTGGCCATATAGAACAAAATAATTTTTTTTGCAAGGAAACATTTAAAGGGAATAAAAAAAATTCTACAGAAGTGTTAAATATTGCCCCTTTTATTCTATATTTTTGCTTAGAATTCAACTTAAATGGCTTGCATTTCTCGTACAGTATTGTATAATGCATAATGCATTGTACATGTGCAGTCAAATCACTTTTAATCAGTGTCTGTGTCAGTAGGGGAGGAGTTTGAGTGGAGGGCCGTTTCTCATGAATATTTCAGTGTCCTCCCTCTTTCCCTATGCATACACACGCGTGTGTAAGTGCTCCATGTGTATTATTCATTAGTAGATGTTCAGTGTATGAGAAGTTTTCAGAACAACTTATCGATCGATAGATATATAGATATTAGGGCTGCCCTCGACTAAAGATTTTTCTTGTCGACTAGTAGTCGTTCATTTTAAGCATTAGTCGACTAATGGCATGTTTATCAATAAACCATTTAAATCATTATAATGAGCCTTTAATTGCCTACATAGCCTAATAAGCGCTCAAGCGCACACATTAAGCTTGCCACAGCACACCGGCAGAAGTAATGATTATGAATGTGTCAGGGAAAAACAGTCAGATTAAACTGCATTAACATTTTAATAATCTATTGATAAACTAGTGTTTTCGGTTTAAGAGATGAATTCGGCGACACTGACTGGTCATCTCCGTAGTAGTGGATGTGCCTGCATGCAAATTTCATACGGATTACATAATCTGAGAATATTTGTTTTTTCAGATTTAAATTTTCATTTGAAAGTAGACATTTCACTCTCTATAGATATATTTTCATGTCTGTAAGGCAAGTATACACGGAGTTTCGCGCTCAAATTCACAGAGGCCGAGACGGCAGAAAGCGCATCCTCTTTGCTTTCATTATTTTACAAAAGCGCAATGTTTTGTTGTTATTGCGCTTGTGAGTGCACACAAATAAACAGAGGCTTTACAGATTCGAAAGATGTATTACTCTTATCTGTATGACCAAAATGACAGAGTATTTTAAGAGCAAGTGAGCACGCCGGCGCCTCCATCTGTCATGCAGTGAGCGCTACTGTTCAGCTTTCACACTCCACCAGGGGCTGGATTGGTAATCGGGCATACCAGGCATTTTCCCGGTGTGCCGACGCACTTAAGAGGCGGACAGAATGTTTTTTTTGCCGAAAACCATCACGCAGGGACAGCGAGCAGCCAGTGGCCCATTGGATTGTCTCCTGTATAGACAGCGTAAACCATCCAATCACAATGCTCTATGGACGGAGCGATGAAATATTTTGCTCCGTCTATATAAAGATCGCATCACCCCAACTTCTTCCTCGTCGGCTTTTCCCACGTTTTCACAGGAGATTTATCAAGAACAGACTTGCTCTGCGGTGAGTGATGCGGGCCAAAGAGCAAGGCAGGAGGAGAAGAAGAGAGTAGCTGAATTGTTAAAGTGCTTGATAGGGACTCGCAACGGAGGCAGGCATCTAACCTATCCTAATGTGCATGCCATGAGTGTATGCGTAAACACTTTTTAATAAAACATAAATTCGTCCCACGCGATTTTTTAGCCAAGTCAAGTCAAGTGTGTTCATAGAGGTTTCCATGGGCCAATGCGCATAAAGCTAGATTTAAATTAAAAAAGACACGATATTGTCGGACCTGACGTTTTATTCTTAGCCAAAACAAGATGTGAAATGAGTGTGATACATCGGCTACATACATACACTACCAGTCAAACATTTTTGAACAGTAAGAAAGATCCAATAGAAAGATCCAAAGATCAGCATTCATATGAAATAAAAAGCTTTTGTAACATTATACATATACCATTCAAAAGCTTGGAGTCAGTATTTTTATTTAATTTTTTATTTTATTTTTATTTTTTTGGGAAATGATAGAAATTAATACTTTTATTTAGCAAGGATGCTTT